TCCACCCACACAATTTTATTTCTAAACTCTCTTCTTAAACTTCCCCTTCAAGCAAGCACAGTTTTCTGTTAAAGGGATTTTAATCTAGGGGAGCATGAACTTTGTTCCACTGAGAACTCCATTTGCAGGCTGCCAAGAGACTAAGGAATTAATGAAAGAACATGTTGATTCCAGCTGTCCTTACCCCTGAAACAGAGATGGGACCGGCACAGACTACAGGTCTAAGCATGTAGTAGTCTATCTTCCTCTGTGTGGCTGTTCTCAACATCAAGATGGACACGGCGTTTGGAGACACACAGTTTGCATAGGACCATGGTTTAATGGCACAGACATTCAAACCAAGGCAGTGGCTTTCAAACTCCCTAAAGTCACAGAACCCTTTTATATCACTTTGTCTGCTGCAGACCCCCTACCCCTAACCTAAAGACTGATGTAAAACCAGGTGACCAGGGCCAGTAATGGTGGTGCATTGCCTCTCAACCTGCTCTGCCATTGCTCCCAGTCTCTTTGCAGAACCTCTGATGACCTATCGTGGAACCCCAGGGCTCCATGGAACAGTTTGAAAACCACTGCATTAAAGCATCTTGCTATGAAACTAGGGCACAACCATGAGTCCTGCTCCAGACTCGCACTGAAGGCCCCTCCAGTCAGCCCAACTGTAAATGATACCTCTCAACACATATGAGGTTTAACCACACTATCCTGATGAGCTTTTTTACTTTCAGGTTCCGCAGGCATGGTTTTATCTCTACAAACCAAAAACTACTGCTGTTGTGCCTATGGGGAAAATAGCTTCCATGGGATTTACTGTGAAGAGTTGCTTTAAACAAAGTGGTGTAAGTGAACATGGGGTGAGGGAAAGGGAGAAATGAAATGCTAGTATTTTCCTCACCCTGGGACATAACAATCAGTTAGAAGACCTGCCACAACTCCCAGCTGCAGTCCACCATCATCCTGAGAATGAGGTCCCTGCCAAATCCTGCGCCTGTGACATGTTGCGGATTCCTGGCTTCAACTCACTCTCCCAGTGTTAGCAACCCTAGCAGTTCATACATGATAAGTTCCATTATTCCCCTCTCCTCCTGTCCCCCCACTTCCCCCCAGAATAAATAAATCATGATACTGGCTTTAAAAGAATGAGAGTTAATAAAAAATAAAAATCAAGCAAACAACCCCCCCCCAAACAAATGCAGATTTGGGGTGTATCAATAGAAGCTTTCAGTACAAGGCTCGGAAGAGGACAGTGCCTCTTTACTTGGCACTGGTTAGGCCTCATCTGGAGTACTGTGTGTTTCTGCCTCGTCTCATCCATCTTTCCCTTTTCTGTTTTTCTGGTTTCTGATGTCCCCATCTCCACAAGTTCTTTTCCTCTCTTCCATTGCTTTCCTTGTTGCTTCTCTTTTCCCCAGCCTTTCTTCTTTTGCTTCATGCTTAGTCACTCTGTCTCTTCTCTCATCTCTGTCTTTGGTCCTCCAATGTATTATCTTCTCTTCACCCTCATTTTTCTTTCCCCTCAAATATTATCTCCTCCTCATCTTCCTGCAACCCCAGTTTCTCACATCCCAGTTCCATCTCTTTCCTTTGTTACTGCCTTGTTGTTCTTTCCATCAAATTTCCCCTGACATCTCCCTCTTCTCTCTGTCTCTGCTTTCCTTGGCTCCCCTCAGTCCCTCTTTACCCTTAATCCATAACCACTTCTTCATGCTTTCTTTCCTGCTCCACTTGGAGGTCTGATTTCTTTATCTCCTTTTGGTAGCCCCAGCTCATCTCTTTCCTACCACGGACCTATTGGAGTTTTGCCACTGACTGGAGTGGGGTGAGGGTTTCACCCATTATTTGTAGAGCAGGACTCAATTTCTGTTTGTAATCCCTGCCAAGATCCTCTACAAGGGACACAGAGGACAACCTATGCCACTCTAGCAAAAGTACTGATGAGCTCCTTATGAAAAAAATAAGTACTTTATACAACATCATCATTATTTATTATATACTGTTAGGAGTAACACCGCAGCTGGGAACTCCAGTCACAGACCTTGATTCCACTGTGGTACGTGATGTATACAGAGGCAACTGTCAATCTTCTAAATCGTGGTGTACGCATAAGAAGTCTAGTCAGATGCCTGATGAATTCATTTGTGGCTGACAAGTCCAACTCAAGAGCAACAAAACTTGTTACAAATTTCACAGATCTATGTCCCGTCTGAGTTGGAGTCCAAGTTTACAACACCCTGCTTTCTTCTTTGTTGTTTTGCTTCCATCCTCTTGATCAAAGCAGCTTCATGTTGTACTTTACCTGGTGTCAGATGTTCCCTCTAGACCAGATGGGATTCTGTACACTCCTCCCAGCTTTCTAAATTGATGTTGAAGGACTTCACATCATTTTTGCACATGCCATGGCAACCCCACTTTCTACAACCATCTCAAATCTTGCTGCATAAAATATTTTTGGGGATACAGTCTCTCATTCTCCTGACATGGCAACTACCTCTTGTTGATAGTGGTTTCTAGGTTTGTCAGTTCTGTGTGCTTCAGCACCTCTGTGTTTGGTATTTTGTCTTCTCACTTTATTTTCAGGAGCTTATGCAGGCATCTCATGTGGAGGCTGTTCAGTCACTTGATGTGCCTAGCATATGTGGCCCACATTTCTCAACCATAAAGCAGGGATGACAACATACAAGTCTCAAAGATTCACATATTCACCTTAGTTGATAGTTTGCTGTTATTCCATGCATGGTCCTGTAATAGCCCATAATTCTTAGCTTTTTTTCCAATTCTATTACTTAGCTCAGTCCGAAAGTCAAGATTACTGCTGATCATAGAACCCAAGTAGCAAAAGCTGTTGAGATATACAACACCAAGAGATTTACCCTCCAAAGGGATGTCAGGTATTGGTTCGTCCATCCGTCGGTACATGATCACAGTCTTCTTCAGACTAACTGTCAACCCAAAGCTCTCGCATGACTCAGAAAATCTGTGATGTACAAGCACAGAAAAAAGATGGTGCCTGCCCCAGGGAGTCTGATTGAAGAATAAGACACGAGACAATAAATAGGCAGATGCAGACAGAGAAGGAAGGACAAGGAAACAATTAAAGAGTATTAGTCAGTACTGTAAACTGTGCTCTCAGTATGACAGCTGTTCTGTAAGTATCAGAACAAAGGAGAGTTTTAGAGAAGAAGTTAAAGGAGGACAACAGGATTGCTTTGTACATGTTTACAGGGAATTCCTCCCAAACCTATGGGAGAAAGCACAGGGGTAATGTTTGTACATCAAACAAGCAAGCAAAGGAGGCTAGCATCACGGGCTGATCAGAAGCAGGAATCACCCTCTTGCTTCTGAATGAGCACTGATGTGCAGATGGGGGTAGGCTGTAAAGGACTCTAGAAGTGAAGACCACCATTATATTTGATAGGCTGGGAATGCGGAGCCAGTGGAGCAATGCATATAGAAGGGTGACATGGTCAAAATGACAGGCTAAGAAAGTGAACTTCATAGCAGTAGTCTGGATGATTACCAGCAGGGCAAAATCATATTTGTCAAGGCCAAAGCAAAGGATTCTGCAGTAATCAGAAAACAAGATGATAGTAATCAAGAAACAAGATGATAAGAGCCTGAAGAAAAATTTTAGCTCTTTGGATGGGGAGGAGAAGTCATAAATTAGATTATACAGAAAAGATTTGGAAGACTTAGATGTAGACTGAACGTGAGGACCAAGAGGAAGGTCCCAGACAAAGATGGGTCATTTCCCTATTCCAGTGACAGGCATGAGGGTAATGTCCTTCATGATACGAAACACAGACTGTGAGCAGAGCTTTGGTGAGAGAAGATTATAGAGGAATCATTTAAATCATCTGAGGTTACAAGGCTATAAACTATCAGTGTAGAATATGACAGAGGCTTTTCACCAATGCTGTTAGTCTCCATAGAAGGATATGAAGAAGCAACTCAAAATTCATAGAATGCTGCCATTCAGAGTATCACTGTACCTACAAAGCTAATGTTAATGTTGAGTGCACCATTTTTAATGCTAACAACTTAAAGCCAGTTCTGGAGTGAAACCCAACAACTTTTAACAGTGCACCAGCAACACAATGCAAAAGGTTAGGAGAGGAAATGAAAGGGGTATTTTCCAACAGACTTTTTGCAGCTACAGACCCCTGCTTTGAAGTTTACAAACTACAGATACGTTACTGGACAGATATACAACAGAAGCAATGGAAAATACATCTCTCTCCAAAGGAAGGTGGCTCGCTCTTTCTCATTATAAAAAACTGGCACCCTTCCTAGCCCCCTCACCCCCATGAATCAAAAAACAGTTAATAAGTAAGGAAATCTTTCTGAATCCCTCTATTTCTGTTCTCCCTCTGTAAACACGAGAAAAAGTTTTACCAGAGAAATGCCATTTTCTATTCTTCAGATGAGCATTAAGCTATTAAATGCACCATTTTACCTTGTTTCCCTTCTATTGAATATCAACTTCAAAACTCTTTGTGTTGGTTCTCCCAATTCTGCTTCCTAATTTCCTTCTCTTTGCAAGGAGGCCCTCCACTGCAACCCTACTAATAGCCCAAGCACAACTGCTGCAGGGGCACCTGTAAGCTGGAAAGAAACCATCTTCACGCCAAAATAAGTCGTTACACTTCATTTCACTTCTAACTTGCTACTTAGCTTGTGGTTAAACTGTTAATGGTTTTCCTTTGCACTTCAGTCCTACTTTTTAGTCTGTGTTGCTCCTAACAAAGCAGAGCATTTCATATGGCTTTTATTTTTCTCAATAACAGGTTTCCTAATTTTAATTAAACAACAGGCAGCAAAATCCCTGCCCCTCAAGATGAATACACAGGGTAGTGCCCTCTACTGTTGGGAAACCATTTCACATCTGCCATTTCTCTAAAAAGAATACATGTTATTCTTATACACGCACACTAATTTAAAAAAATGCAAATACAAAATTAAACCATGCCAGCAGAAAAACATTACTAAAGTAAATGCAGTTTTACCTGGAATGTAGTAGTTCTCACCTGGGAAAGCTGTGATGGGTTCTGCAAGGAAAAAAATATTTTGGTTTTAGAGGAGAGAATGTCTGAAACCCAGAGTGTATCTGATGACTTTCTAGTACAAGAGTTTTTAATCTGGGGTCTGCAGACTATGTCTAAGGGATCTGTGAAAGATGACTATGATCAGTCAAAAGTATGTGAATACCCAAGCTTACAATTCAAAGGTGTCCGCACCTCCATTCACCTTTTTTTAGGGGTCCGCAAATTAAAAAAGGTTGAAAACCACTGCTCTAGTAGCTTTTCGTTGATACATCCTTAAGTCAGATATGGGCATCTATAAGCCCTGAGACTACATGGGGAGCCTTAACTTAGTGGAAGCAGCAGAGGGTATTTCACAATCTTGCAAGGAGCAGGGGAGTCAAAGGCTGGCCTGGGCTGAAAAATCTGCATTTAGATTCAGATTTCAGGGCAAAGTATGTCCCAAGCTCAGCGTGTTTGGACTGAGAAGCTTAGTGTTACTCATTGCATGTTGAAAAATTGAAATTTAAATTGGTGTTTGGATTCTGAAAGACCCCCAAAAAATCAGAGATATTCAAATCTTGAGCGTCAGTTGTAGCTTATCTCTAATTTCAATATTTTCATGGGGTGCTAACCATGCATCAGTCTGCCTCAGCTCCAATAAACAAAGGAGACTGATTTTTGAAGATACTTTGAAGAAGTAATCTGTTACAAATTACTGGATCTGAAAAGCAATAATCAGTGCTTATTACTGATTACTTTCTCACAGAAGTAATAGACTTCTGCTTATTTTTAGATTACTTCTGCATTACGGCTGTGAGTCACACAACCAGACTGGTTGTACAGAGTGCTATGAAATCATCACTCAAGTTCAGAACATGGATGACAAATTTGTCCAAAGAAAAATTACTGTGAGTTATCAGAGTTCTTTTCAGGCTGAAAAGGAATCAGATTATTTCCCATGACTACATTTTAAAACCAGCATCTTACTGCCTTACCTAGTTATTTTTCTGGTCCTGACAAAGAGAGAATGGTGATGTACACATTTTGTTTCATGTTGTGGTGGTGGCATCAAAAATGACCCTATATTTGAAACTGTGTGGAAGTTTTCAGATAAAGTCACCTTTAAATCCCTCTGCCAAGCATCATCACAACCAAGATATCAATACTTATTCCAAAGTACAGATTTAACTTCATGGGAGGATAGAAGTAAATCTGTGCAACAGTTTGAAGCAATTTTAGGGCTATTTTATGGAGCTTTCAAATATACAAACTTTTCAAAGAAATTGGGGCCCACTCTCTTGGAACTCAGAACCGGGCCAGGGCAGGCATTTGCCCTTTGTTCCGGGGCTGTTTTATTCTATACAGATTTATATACTCCCCTGTCACCTGCACCATCTGAGTACCTTCTGGTAGTGCATTAAGTGACATGACTAACATCTGTCATATGTGGTTCATTTCTCTCTCACCCCAGAGATACACCTTCTTAAAAAGAGAAAGGGAGGTCCTGTCCCACTGAATTAAAGGACACGCATGGCTGTAGGACTCCCTTCCAGTGCCATTTAGGTGAAGATAAATAAGGAGAGTAACCTTGCTGAAGTGGGCCTTTCCAAGTGCCCAACTCAAGCCACAGCCAGCTCCAGCAGAAAGACTATTAATGACTACAATATGGGTTGAATGTGGCCTCTCAGGAGCATGAATATCTTTAGAGTTCAGAGCTTCTAGCAACAGATTCCACAGCCTCTGTTCCTGGGCATAACCACCTGTTTAGTTAGAAAGTGTGTCTTACTATCCAACCTAAACCTCCCTTGTTGCACTCTAAGCCCATTACTTCTTGTCCACTTTTCAGTGGACACAGAATAATGTATTGCCATTCTCTTTATAACTACTCTTTCTGTCTTTGCAGACTATTTTAAATTCTCAGTTTTCCTTAATTTCCTTCAGAAGCATGAAAAATGCTGCTAAAACTCAATATAGCTCAGGTCGTCCCTTGGCAGAATTTCAGATACCAAGATTCTCATGAACTGGCCTTCTGCAGGCAACTGCATGTCCTTGTTTAGCTTTGTCAAGAAGAGAGGATATGGGATTCATTGGGTGAGGATTACTATGCCTTTTACTAGGTAGGTCAGGCCCAATGGTCACAAAGGTCCACTCTGGCATTACCATCACTAAGTATGAGAGACTGATGTTTACATACCCATGCAGTTCTCCAAGGAGACATCAGTGGCTATCCGGATGTCATCAATGGCAATCGCCCCTGAATATCCTTTGCGTATAACACCCTCAAACACGATCTATGAATAATCAGAACAGTTGTGTCAATGTTAAGTTGCCAAACAGCATAAACAGCCCTTGGTCCCATCCAAGAAAAGATATGAAATGTGCTCCCCACTTTTAGTTCTTACTGGAAGAGCTAAATACTGGTCTCCTTATCAATCCTTATTCAAGTGCACAGCAGTACACAAGCAGTCGTACACATTCTTGGGAGTGTGTTGGGGATAACTTTTTGATACAGATGGTGGACAGGCCAACTAGGGGGGATCTGTTGTTCATAAACAGAGAGGAATTTGCAGATGACACCAAGTTGGATGGAGCTGTGACACTGGAGGCCAGGGCTAGGATCCAGAATGACCTGGATTGACTGAAAAAAAAGGTCTGCAATCAATCAGATGAGATTCAACAAGGACAAGTGCAAAGCCTGCACTGGGGATGGAATAATTTCAGGAACAAATAAAGACTGGAAAATGGCAAGGCTGCAGGACTGTAGAGAAGGACCTGGGGGTTACAGTATATTAATTTGAGCCAACAGTGTGCCATTGCTGCAAAAAGCCGACAACATACTGGGCTGTATTAATAGGAGTGTCACTTGCAAATCAAGGGAAGTGATTCTTCTGCTCTATGTAGCACTGGTGAGGCCTCACTTGAAATACCGTGTCCAGTTTTGGGCCCCAGACTTCAAACAGGATGTGGACAGTTTGGAAAAAACCAAGCACAGAGGAACAGAAATGATTAGGGGCCTGGGAAGCAAGACTTATGAAGAAAGACAGAAAGGGCAATGGCTATTTAGTTTGGAGAAGAGCAGACTGAGGGAGAATTTGAGAATAGTCTTCAAATACCTGAAGGGCGATTTCAGAGAGGATGGACAAGGGATTTTTTCTATGGCCATAGGGGACAGGACTAGGAGCAATGGCTTCAAATTGAAGCAGAGGAAATTTAGGTTTGAGATTAATTAGGAGGAACTTTGGGACTGAGGGTGGTCAAACATTGGAAACGGCTGCATACAGAAACTGTAGAATCTCCATCACTGGCAATTTTCAAGAGCAGGTTGGATTCACAATTGGCTGGGACGGTTTAGTCTCTAAACTTTAGATGCTGCCTTGAACAAGGGACTGGATTAGATGACCCTGTGATTCCCCTTCCACTCCTACTCTCCTATAATCCTAAGGCAAAATTCCCCTCAGCTATGAAAGGTCTATCTAATGAGGGACTCAATAAACCTCATGAAGCAGTTTATCATCTAGTCCAGTGCTACATTCTCAACTGTTGTTTTTTTACAATAAAATCCCTGTTTTACTGAAGAAAAACAAACAATTAATATGGATTCTTAGTATGTAGAGTGGGCCAGTTCGTCAGCTTGGGTAAACTGGCACAGTCCTTCCTTTTAAAGCCAATGGAGCAATACTGATTTATACCAGCTGAGGATATGCCCCATTATGTTAACACAGGCACCAGAATTAGTCCATGAAAATGAAGTTAGACCCTGCAGTAAGTTTGAAGTGCTGGTTCCACTGATCTCATGCAATAGGTATTCAAATGCTGCAAGAGATAAGCACATGTAAGCCTGTTTCATCACTTAGCAAAATAAAAAATACACTATTCAGCTATGAAAAATGCCAAGTGAAAATATTCCACTCTTTCAGTAATACGTCTGTGAGTTTATTAAGGCCTGTGTATCACTTATAAATGAACAAAGCAATGTATAAAATACCTGATCTGTAAGTCATTATATATAATGGCATTTGGCTAAAAAGCCAAACATACACCTATAATATAGATCCAGCAGTATTGGGGTAAAGACTTTTGCTTTATTTCCGTTGGCCATCACTTCCTTTCAATTGCTCAGTTAAAGCCCCATTCTGCAGTCTTTGCAAGCGCAAAGCTCCCACAGAAGTCAACAGAAATTTTGCAACTATAAAGGCTTGGGTATCAGACCATTAGCTTGTAAGTTCTATGGGGCAAGGCCCTTGTTTTCCTTCATTTTGGACAGTGACAATGCTCATAAATAAGTAATAATAGGCAGCACATATTGTCTGGCAAGCAGGCTGAGCACTGGCTTGCCTTATTAGCCAGATGTAGCAGCTTTTTGGCTAGGGAGGAATTTAATACACCGGGAGAGCCCAGTCCTGCCAACTCTCCATGCACAAACCTCTCTTTATCTTCTCAGTGGGGTGCTGGGAGCTTTGGAGAGGTTTCTAAGTGCACTGATCTCACTAGACTGGGTATATGGGTCTTCTCTGTGGGACTAATTCTGCTTCCACTGTGACAAAATGGCAGTGGGATTATTCACAGTGTCTACTTGAATTCAGCTTTCTGTTCTTGTCTCAGCAGTCTGACCACTAGATTGACAAAAAGACCAGATTTCTCCCCTCCTCCTCACATGCACAACTTGGAGCCAAGGTCAAGAAAGTGTTGTTTGGTTTCTTTCCCTGCATTCTTTCTTTAAAACTGGACTCCCTCCCTCCCACCTTCCCACCTCCCTGATTGCAGGATTTGTTTGTGTTTGTTCCTTAGGGTTTTGTGTCTCTTGTCAGATTACCTGATAATCATCTAAACGAAAATGGAGGAAAAATATTTGTAAAGGGAAGAGTTAAGGAATATAAAAGGTAACAGTATGAACAAAGACCTAAGTCTGTGTATAAAGATAGGCACGTTCTGAATAACAAACAGAGTGTCATTTAGTTACTATAGTAACGTGAGAAACACAATGAAAACAGCCTCACTCAGCCATGCTCCCTAATGATGAATGGGCACAGTGCTTTGAAATATTGAAATAAGTATCAGTAAAATCCACGCAAAGCTCAGAACAAACCTCCCTTAATCATCTTACCTGATACACCATGTCATAGCTTGGCAGAATGATCCGTCCTTCTCTCCATTCTTCCCCATGGTCTTCTGTGATGACCCACAATGGTTTATTCTCCTGGCTTGCTTCCCGCCACACCTGCAGCATTACCCCATTCCCACCCGATGCTTGATACTGGAACACCATGCACATGGCACTCCTGGGCAAGTGGACCGGGGGGCTGATGAGCCGGGCATGTCGGCCTTCTCTCCTTCCGCTGCTCTGTAGCCACAAGTAATCTTTACCATCTGGTCAAGGAAAAAAGAAGGAAACACTCATCAGATTTCCTACTAGCTATTGCCATGAGTCTTCTGCACACATACCCATCCCTCAGCTAGACAACAAGCTTAGCCTGACACAGCTAACTACCTCTCTTTACAGCAAGTGCAGAAATGGCATTTCACTAAGCTCATCTAGCACATAACTGGAGTGCTTGAGGGAGCAGGGAACTTGGCATTTATCCTATAAGAGCACTTTATGTTTCTACCAGTTTAGCTGGATTGCTTTTCAAACCTGAATAGTTAAGTTCTGGCTCTCTGAGTGGCATTCTGTTCATTTCTAGGCACCTAGATGGGAAAATTGCATCATCTATATGGTTGTCTAAGACCTCAAAGTGCCACTTATGCACAGGTTGGCATTCTGTTTCTGCAGACATAGCCCTGGATGCATGGACAATGCCCATGCACTCGCCACATGTGGATTATGCTCACACACTGGCCACCTTTGCTAAATGGTATTTTGGGGACTTTGATGACCATGTAGGCATCCAAATCTGAACATTTAGATGATCTGGAAAGAAGAGAATGTCACCCGTACTTCTATATTTGGATGTTCAAATGGAAAAAAAACCCTGTAAAATGGGTATGAAAGTAACCCATGTTGATTTGCATACCCAGAAACATAGCTGGGTTCCCTAGTTAGGTACCCAGGTTTGAAAATGAAACCTAGTTTTATCTTTGTTTGATGCTTCCTCTAGCAGTTCTTCTACAAGGCAGAAGCTGACACTACTTCATGGGGGCTGCTGTTCCTTGGCACCTGTATTGTGAACGCTCTTTTTGAATATTGCTTGGAGATTTAAAACATATACACTGAGTCTATTGTGATCTGCTGTACAGAGACAATGAACTTCATACTTCACTCCAAACACAACCCCAGGCTGGGATTTCCTTTCTAAATATTTGGAATGTGAGTATTCAACTTAATTTTGACTGGTGCCTAACAAAAAACAATGGGCAAAAAGAATGAATCTGCCAGTTTGGTCCATGTATCCAGCACAGACAAGCTCAGAACACGGCTCCACAGGGTTCACAACATGTTTTCTTGGAAAAATACCATGAGTAGTTTTTAGTTCTAAAAATAAAGCAAGACACCACCAAGTGTTCATTCATCCCTGTTTCACAGAAGGATATGAACAGGACAGAAGCTGCCAGAAGGATGAAGGGAACGGTAGGAAAGGAAAGGGAGGGAAAACTTTGTTCATAGTGCTGGGATAGTTGCGACGTGTGGAATGAAAGCCACTAATAACAGAAAGAGTCTAGAGAGCAGAATCCCGTGAAAAGATTCTGCCTTTGTGCAGAGACTGAGATAAACTCATCCCTGCCGAGAATGTGCATCCCAAGCAAACCGGATAATTCAAGAGATATTTACAGGGAGTGAAAAAGCCTGTGCTGTATCAAGCACAACCTCAGTACTTCTGTGGAGACTAGTGTCTGAAAGAGAAATACATAAAGAGGGATATTACATAGCCTGAGATGGAGCAGTAAGGGAGATAGATGTCTTTTTTCACCAGCAGCTATGGTGTGGTAAGATACTGATAATGGAATTGGAAAGCATAAGCCAAAGACTGACATAATTAGGACAAGTTAAAGTGCAGTTATAGTCAGAAAAATTGACTCTGTAATAATGACATTGTGGGGGGTTCATATTTATTCTGCCTGCAATTTGCTCAGCTTACAAGTCTGAAGCTGATTTTTTTTAACCACCAAAGCTACAAACTCCTCCTAGGATCTGGATATTAAGCTCTGTTCTTTCTGTCTCTTTTCATCACTGGTGGTAAATACTCTGCAATCAGAACCTAGCTGACAATTTTGTTGATAATATGCAAGGTAAAATGAAGCCCTGCTTTCGATTTTTTCCATAGTGTAGCTGGATTGGCAAAGAGAAGTGCAAACAGGAGAATGAACAGGTTTTCGTATTTTAAATAAATGAAGATGACGCAGATAGAAACACTGGGCATTTATACACATACATCTTCATGCCAGGACATGCCAGAGATCCGGTGCATCAGAACAGACTCGATTAATCGAGTCCGCTCCACACACAAGCTGACGTGGTGAAAATAGCGTGCAGAAAATGGCGGCAGTGCGCTTGTAAACTAAAACACCTCCAATATGTTTTGGTTCAAAAGCACACTGCTGCCATTTTCTCAGTGCTGACGTGCATTTCACCACTTATACAACTGCATGTGCTGCAGCACCAGACACTTTTAAAAGCACCTGGTGCTGTGGCACAAGCATGTGTACAAATGCCCATTAGGAGCAGGAGCATTGGGTAAAGAGGTATGTTTCTTTCTTAAGAAAATCTCTTTCCAAAATGTAACTGCACATTTAGCCTAGGGATGCACTGCTGATACTTGATATCTTGGCTGATACTGATAGCCAATTATTAACCAGCCATATCGGCCGATACCAATCCGATAACTGATTTACAGGAATGCAGCCGGGCAGCGTGGAGAGCAGTTCCCTGCAGGTAAATCTGTAGAGGGGAAGGGGTGTGTGGGGGTGGGAGGGCAGATCGAGGTCTCCACAGTGAGGGAGGGGGTGGGGCGGGGGCAGGGACTGGGGGCACTGCCTAGCCAGGGTGGTGAATGGGACCTGGTGTCAGGGCAGGGAGCAGGACATTGCTGCAGGCAGCTCATCCAGGGGATCAGCATCCTGTCACTTAAAAACGGTGATAGCAGCACTTGAACTAAAGCTCATCAAATGAGCTTTAGTTCAAGTGCTGCCATCACCGTTTTTAAGCGCAGGGATACTTTTAACTGGAGCAGAGCCAAGCAAGGTGAGGGCAGATGTGGGCTGCCTGCTGTGGGCTGGGGGTTTTATGCTCTGCTGCCTTTGCCCCAGGGGCCCCATACCAGCCGTGCATCCTCTGTCTGCCCAGCAGCAGGAGGCACAACTGGCCACCATCACTGCTGCCAGGCAGACAGGTGATGTGTGACCAGTGTGGGGCTCCTGAGGGAGAGGCAGCAGAGTAGAAAGCCCAGAGCCTGCAACAAGCAATGTACATCCATCCCATGCACAGATCGGGGGGTGGGGGGTACATGCCCCACCATGCCTCCCCCGAGGCACGGAGCCCCTCTCCACCCCACCCCCCATGCCCTCTGGACAAGTTGCCTGTGGCTCTGTCCTGCTTTCTGCCCTGGGTCCTATTCACTGTCCTGGCAGTGCCCCCAGCCCCTGTCCCACTTCCTCCCTCACTGTGGGGACCTCCATCTCTACCCCCCACATGCCCCTTGCCTCCCCCGACACCTCCCCCTTCACAGAATTACCTGCAGGTGCTGCTCTCCATGCTGCCCAGCCGCCTTCCCG